CGGAATGGACATATGTCTATTCGAAATTGACATATGTCCATTCCGAACTGACATAAATTCCGATCTGACATACAACAGTACTAATGTGGCATGAAATGAATGGATATCGTGATCGGCACCCATAGTGCGCTATACAGTCGAGAAAATGGAATTATAATCAATACCCATGATGCGCTTGATGCTAATAAACGATTTTATTCAATTAATTCATCGACATGAATAGTTAAGAGACTTATTCATTATTTAATTATTTTGTAAATTCGATGGAGAATCCCAACCAAATGTCATCCAGACGTTAGAAAAAATTTGCCGCACTTAGCTAATTACTTAACAAATATTTACACATTGCTATTAAGCACAATTAGTGGTATTACAAAAAGATATTTAAGCAGCTCGAGTTTTCGATAACAATCATGCTCTCGATGTTTATAATAAACCGAGCAGTTTTTTACGCTCAAAATAAACAATTTATTCATATTTTGGTAATCTTTTTGATAGTAATAGAGCGCAAAATTCAGTAATCCCTCTATCAATACAAATGATTCGATACTTGTCCATATATTCTGGTGGCTGTTATGATTATTATTTGTCTAGTAAATAAACGCGATTTAAACACCGACTTGTATGTTTATTAACAGGAGAAATAAACGTTATTGCTCAAGGCCGACTCAGTAATCGAGGATAAGGACCGTAAAAGCTTTTTAGGTTACCAACTTGTCAATTATTAGAGACGCGCTACAGCCTCGATTGACACGAGTTTGTGAGTAATATGTAAAGTTAACCAGTATCCATATTCGCAACATAATAACTGTGTTTTCATTTGTTCAAGTAGTGTTTTTTTCTATACTTTAGTTTGCAAGAATAAATTGACCAAATTGGCAAAATATGTTGGTTTATTATTTTTATATACTGGGCAAGCTTTTATTAACAAGCGCTTTGTTCGCTAACCTGCTATTACAAATGGACATCAATCTTTATCTAGACAAATTTTTCTCAAACGCATTCCGAGAGTGAGTTAAGCTTCTTCGAGTACTCATACTTTACATTATTTCGACCCTACTACACTTGAATATTTATACATCTTGTCGGCAGAATGTGCAAGTAACAGGTTGTCAACCATTACATTAGCTAGAATATTTAAATATCTTCTACTACAATAAATTGCTTACGTAATACACTTATGTGCACCATCCTGACGCGTACATTGAGTTGTAAAATTAACTTTATTATAACAAAATTAATTATGTGCTGCATAATTTGTATCGATAGAATTTAAACTTTTTGAGGCCGTGACAGGGTTACAAATACGTAACATTTTAGTACAACGAAAATAGAGGCAAATGTTCAAGCGTTTTGTTCCTTTTCAGCGACTTCAAGTTAATAGATTTATCGCCTCAGAGTCAACAAAGACGGAACCGGGTTCGAAATATAAAATTCTGTCAAAAAGGAGATATATAATTGTAGTGTATTTCGTGATGGTGCATTTTTTAGTTTGTCGAGGCATAGTGAAACAATAGAGCATGTTACAAACTTGTTAAACTACATTTATTGGATAACAAATTGTTACACACGAAGGAAAGCTGCACAAAACGATGTGTCCGAAATTTCTATCTTTTCTTAAGGAAACTTGAAAAAATGTTACTTTTCAAATTTCTAAAGCTCAAAACTTTTTTAGTTGATTAAAAAATCTAAACCATAACTTTGTTCTGCATCATATTCTTACGGATTAGTTTTTCTCTATACCCAATACAAAAGCCTTGGGGTTTGAAAGTTGGATAATTTATTTCGAGCTTTAGATGCGTTACACCATAGTTATCGACGATGAAAATCGATTTTGCGTTTCAAAGAATCAAGCCGCTGAAAAGTTTTAATTGGGGGAAAATGTATCATTTAATTTTCCATAAATGTAAATTCGTACTACTGGAGGAAAAATATCAATTAATACCAAACCATTGGAAATTAAATGTATCATTTAATTTGCCATAAATAAAATTCCGCATTTTTCGGAATCTGTATTTTAAATAATACAGAATTTTGATGCCTCTGGCGCACCATACATAGTATATGTAACTATATATGCATTGTATGAGAGCCAGCAAGAGCTGAATTGCATGGTATAGAGGGTGGAGGGTGGCCAAAGGTACACGTTGGTAATGTTCGTATATAATTGCCATAAAACATACCAGAAACAGTAATTGGTTGTTAGTGTAAATATCGTTTGAAAAAGATTTTTGTAAACGACGAATAAAAATATAACGTAGATATTGTGCATCAAGTGATAAGGGTGATAATTTACTATAAGGGTAAGGTCCTGTACGTTGTTTATATTGACTCTATCTATTTATTAACTGTTTGCAATCATAAATTGTTGTTTCTTGACTACGTTATGGATTAGATTCTATACTGGAGGATTTTTATGTCTATGGTGTTATTCATTACCAGATTAATGCGATAAGTCTTAATGAATAATACAGAGAAAGTTATAATGGCATTGCGGCTATTTATTTTAGTTATTAATTTATCTATATAGCATATGCTCTAGTGGTATTCCCTTTGTACTATGTACCCAGAGTACTCATGTAAGGGGTGCATCAGATTACATCGTAGTGATAGCGGGTTACATCTCTTCTAAAATTCTATTGGCTGCAGATAAATTCTATCAAATGTGATTCCAGATTTCCTACATTAGATAAATACTGTAAGAACTTCGAAAATTCGATTGTGATTACAGGTAACTTTTCTTATGTCTCCCGGTGTCTTATGTCTTGAATTAGTATTGCTAACTGAGAATGTAACAGGCGAAAATGATGAAGTAATAAGTTTCAATAATATTGACGGTGAAGAGTACGAAAAAGTCGGAGATGATAATATTTGGAAATAATCGTAGATTTCTGTCGCTTTTATCAATAAAGTTTGTGCACCTTATAGTGTTAAATTTTTATTGGCAAGTTAGAAGAGGGTACAAGTCACAGGAGTATATATGCCATAACTTATACTCGTGGTATTTGGCGTTCAGAATTACCGCAGGGTATAGTGCACGGGGGTCTACATGTCGAAGAGATACGTTTCATCATTAAATACGCTTTGCGCATTAGAAATAATTATTTAGTAAACCAGTTTCCACTTTCATAGCCACATTATGTACACAAATACAAAGTAATGGCTCTTAGTTCCGCTCTTACCACACACAAGTTATTTCTAGTCTCAGACCATTAGCTTTAGTGTGTGGGTGAGACATATGACAGACACATACAGTATTTTACATTTTGCTTAAAGTTAATAGAAATCTTATAGCTTATTTATTAGCCCGTAAAGAGTTTGCTTTTACCATAGCGCATAATACATGTTTACGAGCTTAATCACACATTAATTTCGAGATTGGGCTGTCCGCTGTCTACAAATACAAAACGTCAAGGTCATACTATGATTTTTAAAAAATATATACATTATCGAAATAGTGTTATTACTTTCATACCTCCATGCCCCAGCGGCGGTACTCGGGTACTTCTATTCCTTCGTTCAGAAAATTCGTCAACAGAAAGTAACGTACTAGAGCACCTCTCAGTGATCAGTAAAGGAATGGTATCTGTGGAATAGATAGCGTCCCACTCAGTGTCATTACGAATACTTTTCATGGTATTGTCTATCTTGTCAAATAGTTCACTAGCGCTTGGACGCTCATTAGGATCCCTCGTGTTGCAACATTTTTCGGCATATTCTTTATAGAACTTTGGTGCTGAATCTGGCATCTTTGGCTTACAAATAGATTTTCCGTTTCCAAATAGCGGTTCTCCAGTAGCCATAAAATACATGAGCATGCCAAAAGCATAAATATCTGATTGCTGAGTATACTTTTGATGATAAAAGACTTCTGGTGCAATGAAAGGCAAAACACCTCGCACCGTCTTCGAAACTATATCGGATGCAGTCACTGATTTTGACAATCCAAGATCGCATATAAACAATTCATGTTCAATGGATTGAGAGTTGTCGGATTGAGAATTGTTCTGCTCACTATTCAGGACTATGTTACCAGTATGGATGTCAGAATGGATTAAGTTCATTTCATGAATAGTCGTCAATTGATAAGCAATATCCTTCAAAAAGCTTAATTTTTTCCTCCACGTAAGCGTGCTTCTGTTTTGGCACCAGTAATAATAAAGATTTCCACAGTTTGCATATTGCATTACTATCATGTATTCCTCAGTCGTTGGTACTTTCGTAATTCCATAAATCTCAAGAAACTCGCTTGTAGAAGAGCACACGACGTGTTTTTTAAGCTGTTAATCAAGCAGAAATTGAGTTAATTATTATTTGTCCAATTATATCAATAGATAGCGCAATAAATCTTACTTCAGAAATAAACATGTCTTGATCTTCCTCAAAGTTTTTAAACCGTTTGAGAACAACACGTTTGCCCAGTACCTTACATTGTGCGGACTGGACGGTTGCAAAATTGCCAGAACCGATTTTATCGATTTCACTGAAGGTGGGATACGGCAAAAATCTAACACCAGGCATAGTTTTACTTAAAATAGCGTCTATATCGTAGTAAAACACCAAATAATAATCTTTAGTTTTTGGATTTTGAGTAAAGCCAACAATCCAAATATTGTCTGGGGTTAATATTTTGGGATAGTTTTTTCTGATCTGGTTTGTTGAGTGAAAGAAATATTATTTTCTCAGACAAATATTCTATAACAACACAACTCAAAAAGATTTACCTTACCTGAACAAAGTCGAGCGGCCGAGCATTTCCTCCAATTTTTTTGAGTGTTACCCGTGTCCATTCAGGCGTGGGATAGTTTTCTCTGATCTGGTTTGTTGAGTGAAAGAAATATTATTTTCTCAGACAAATATTCTACAATAACACAAAAAGATTTACCTTACCTGAACAAAGTCGAGCGGCCGAGCATTTTTTTTGAGTGCTACCATACAGTCAGGTTCTCTCCAGAGAGTTTCATGTGTACACCCATGATTTAATGATGGTGCCTCTTTCAAGGGTTCCAATTCATGAAAATTTATCCATTTGAGATAACTATCGGTGACATTGCGTACTTTACTCCAAGATTCCATTATAAACGAGTCCAGAGACGTATCTGGGGTAAGCGCATCACAAGGCTCTGGTGCCTGGCAACGTAAGCAAAATTCTCGTACGCAAGGATTCAAATACCACGTACACGACAGACATAATCCACGGTGCAATTCTTCATCTTCACTTTCAATTAGAGCATATTTTCCCCATTGTTCGTGATACGTAAACCCGATGGTGATCCAAACATTTCTGTCTGTATTCTCGCGCAGCTATTTATTGGAAATATTTGTTAGCACAATACATGTCTGTATATTTAATTAACAATCGTAGATGGCATGGTTTGTTTACTTACATTCTTATAGTATGAATCGCTTGTTATATCCGAGTCTTCTATTGGAGTCAATTTTACGGCACCCGAAACAGGCAAGCCAAATAAGCGACTACTATCAGTCGTATTGGAGATGTTGTCAAACGGAATCCATTCCAAATAGGCTTCATTTGCTGATTTTGTTTGTAGTTGTGATTCCTTAATAAATTTATCGAGTTTCTTATTGTTACTAGTCCACCCAGTGGATAGTTCCTTATGGCCACAAATGCACCACACAGGACTGCATCGGAGCATCCCGCACTCAAAGCAAAATCCATATCGAGAATAGCAGTCGTAAAAGCGTCTATCGGCAACCAAGTAATAGTCATCGTTATTTTTGGTAAATCCTTTAATTAAGTTGTTACGTCTCTTGAGCCACGTAGAATATCTTCTAAACTGACTGGTGTTCTGTGAGGTTTCCGACAGCGGGTGAATTCTCATGAATTCTTGTACAGATCTACTGTTAGCTTCGACCCGCTTCAACACAACTTGCGTATTTGTAGGTTGGTGCATAGCATTTGCTGACTCTACATTTATTTCTGCAAATTCCGAGTAACAAACCCATTTAACTTGAGAAGTATCAAGCAACTGATCAATCTCTGGACATCCGGAAATGCTCATATTGGGTTTAAAGAGTAGAAGTGATAATTCTTAGAATGGTGTATCGGTAAGCGTAGTTCGCTGCTTAGGTTATGTGTATGCGTTTATATAATGCGTGCTTCTCATACGTGCTATTGTTGTTACGTAAAAGGCATTAATTTCTGATATAATGCGTTTGTTGTGTAACTTATATGCACACAACGCAAATATAGATTGTAATCAAAACTTTAACTTTATTGAACAGTCATTGAAATTTACCCATAATGGGTCGCGTTGTGACTTCACATTTGGAATATGTTAGTCACCCACGCAATTTGACTGGATCTTTGAATAGATGAAGGCGCCTTCAAGTCAACGCTTACATAATATATTGAATATATTATACATAGTTAATACATGCGATCTAGTGCGCAATCGCTCTCAAACCAATAATGTTAAATTATAGCGTTTTTTTTTTTTTAATAATATACCAACTTTGAATAGCTTTTTACGAGTAACCAACATGTTTGATCAGAACATCAAAATAGAATTACTAGTTTAACATAAATAAATATGTTGCTATTTAATCAGGTTCCGTGCAAAATTTAGTAAATTTTAACTATTCTATTATAGTTTGGTAAAAATAAAAAAGACAAACGCATTTATATCATATAAAATTTATCAATTAAAAGTAAGGCATAAATAATGTAAAAGAAAAAGTTTCTTTGAAATAAAAAAGTGGCGCAAGGATAATGTAAAGAAAAAATTATACACCACTAATTCATTTGTTCACATGCACACATACATACACACAACATGCACACACACCTTTCACAAATGCAACTATTTTTTTTTTTGTTTACACTTGTTCGACCGCTTTGCATCATCAATTACCCCTGTGATGAATCAATATCTGTTCTTACTCCACCTGTTTGGAAAGATAGAAGTCAGTTCAATCAACTAATGTCGTAAGAGCTATTCACATAATAAACGTGGTAAAAAATGTATTTCGTTTGTCCTTTGAATTTGTCTATAAATTTTGGTGTCCTACGTTACAACTGCAATGTACTTCTATAGGAAATAGACTGGTACTACAAGTAGGCGTTATTACTGGCCTGGCAAGCGTCACATACGTCAGGAAATTATGTGATAAGACCAGTTCGACTGATAATCAAAATAGTGTTCGAATATGGTCATATTGACGACATTTGTGTAACAGAACACAGAGCTCATATGATGATATTCCTGCAGATTGATGAAAAAATAAAAAAAGCATATGTTTCATTTATTTCTTCGTTATAAAGTTCAATATTCAAACAAACAATATCTTAATATCCCGTTCTGTAAGGTTGGATGTGTAATAAGCAGCAACAGCAAAAAAAACAGCATATTTAGAATGCTTTGTATACAGTTATATGCTGTACATAATTAAGGACGAATAATAATTTAACTCGTCATATTTATGATAATAAAATTAATTGACTCGTTATTTAATCTTTTAAACTGATAATTGGTGTTACAATCAATCAATTGTATAAAGTCTTTCAAGTTAAATAACCTGAAAAAGTTGCGAGGAACAGTGTAGGAGTGAGTGTTTCATAAATTTCTTCTTATCTCGATCCAGTACTAGACGTGTAATGCAAATTCAACAAAACTGTTGCATGAAATATTCCCCAATTAGGCAGTAGTAATACAAGTAAGTGGAGCAACCAAACAAGAGGCGCACTAGACAAAAAAAAAAGACTGTTATATCGGCTGAAACATTAATTAAACACACGGTTTTCTGTACTGCAACTAGAATAAATGTAATCTAATATATATTTCTAACTTTGAATCCAAATTCTTTCTCCCAGACAACCAACTGAGAGTTTCAACTTAAAATTTAATATTTTATAAAGAACTGTAATGCAGTATAGTATTTCTTGATCGTTCACGGAGTAGATTGAATGATTTGCCCGCACGTAAAGTTTGTGTCAGACATTGTTACTATATTTATAACTGCTAATATAAACACCAATACTAAATTAAACGTTTATGAGATCAGTTGGTGTGACAAAACAGATAGAGTCAGCCAATGGGATTAACCGACACTGTACAATACTAATCATGTCGTATTATCCCTCAACGGCGCCCACGTTCAGGGAGTAACTTAGTTAGAGTAACTGCCCCAGTCTTGAACCACACATATATTGACTCCAGTAACATGACTTTTTTACTGCAAATTCAAAATGGTAAAGTTTTACTTGATAATTACGAATATTAAACTTTTGCGGGCAATTATCAGGTCTTACTGAAAGAAGAAATCATAATAGAACAGTAGATCGATCATTTTGTGATTGTGCAACAGGACATGTTGTATGACATGCAGACCAAGCTACTGGTTCTATAAGATCATACGATGATTGTCGTTGTTCCGAAGGATACTTTGCAGAAGAGGAGAATCAATGAACCAAGTGGGCTGAGACAGGAGGAGGTTGGTATGGTATGCAAACTTTAACATCTGTACTACTCCGGAAGACGGCAATTTTTATCCTATCGGTTTACTTGACTTGTATACTATCATTGTCTTTACTAAAATTTCAAACTTGTGGCGCTCCCTGTAGACCGTTATCAAACGCTATAATTACAAATGTTTAAGTTGCAAGATATGATAA